TAACACAAGACATTTGTATGTAGAAGACTTCATTAAGGGCTTGAAATGTTGAAGTGGGTTTCATCATAGTGCCATATGTAAGAAAAAATAATTGAGCAACATCAATTCCTCTATCGACATTTATTTTGGACATCCCCAACCAGAGGACTCACTCCTTGTGCCACTTCTCCTCCCATGCTTGTGGCTAAACCCTCTCTCTTCTTCCAATTCCTCATCCAACACCTCCTCCAGTTCCCTTATTTTCCCACCTTTTCCTCTTTTCTTTTCTGCCTTCTGCAAAGAAAAAATGTGAATTTTCCAGCCCTACTCATTTCTAGGCTTATGGGAAAGTTTGTTAATGTATTTTGTGTATCAGCAAGACCTTCACTCAAGCCCATCTTTTGAGCAGCAGAGAGGAAACAGTTTGGCTTTGCCCTTGGTCTTTCCCTTCTCCCAGCCATACTAGTCTGTGTCGGGGGAATAATAATGCATAATACAATCTACTTCCCAGTTGTCATGAAGGACTCCATTATGTAAGAGGCAGACTAGCTGCCTTGGCTCTAAGAACTAAACTTTTTTCTTTATTACATCCATTTTAATGACGAGAAAATAAATGCTCCATGAAGTTAGGTATGAAAATGATTTACCCAGCCCAACAAGAAAAGGGATGTTTGAATCCAGGTGTAATGGTAGCAAACTTATGTCATTTCCACCACAACACAATGAACTTGGTAAACATTCACAGTTGTATCTATGCAGATCCACCAGCATACATCCGGTGAAATTCCCTATGTAAAAGCATCGGGTTGGACAGGTTTGAGAGGGGGTGAGAGCGTAGAAAATCAATGGTCCCTTCCCAGAAGGAATTCTCTTCATCTCACAGAAGCCAGGCCAGATGGCCTATAAATTAAAGTAGAAATTCAGGAAGCTGAAGGAATACCTTGAAAACCCTATACCTGTCTACTGAAGAAACAGCCTAACAGCGATTATAACCTTGGACTCTGGAGAGTCTAGGCGAGGTACTTCCCTGCTCTGTGGCTCACTTTTTTTCAGTCAGAGAATGAGGGCAGTAATAGTGCTCCAGGTACAGGCTGGTTGTAAAGGTCACACGGATTAACATATGTAACATATTTAGATCAGTGCCTGGAACATAACAAACACTCAGAAAGTTATTCAACTTCCTGTTACTATAACAAATGCCTGAGATAAATTAACTTATCAAGAGAAAATGCCACAATTTTGGAGGTTTGGGGCATGATTGGTTGTCCCTTCTGCTTTGAGCCTGTGCAGCTTATCATGATTGGAAGCACATAGTAGAGCAAAACTGCTCACCTCATGCCCCACACATGAAAAGCAGAAGCAGGCTGGAGCCCCATAATTCCTTTCAAAGGCATATTCCTCAGTGACTGGAAGACAACAGTGTTGGTTTGGATATGAAGTTCTCCAAAATGCTCATGTGTTTGAAGTCTGGGTTTCCAATTTAGCAGTGTTCAGAGATTGGATTATGAGGGCTCCAACTTCATCAATGGATTTAACCCACTGATGGACTCAATTTGACGCATTACTGGAAGGGGATGGAAATTAGGAGTCGGGGCTGAGTTGGAGGAAGTAGGTTACTGGGTGTGAGCCTTTGAAACACATATCTTATCCCTGGACCCTTCCTACCTCCCTGCCACTTCTGGGCCACCCTGAGGTGAACAACTTTAGTCTGCCACATGCTCTTGCTGCCATGATGGTCTGCCTTACCACAAGCCCATAGCAATGGAGTGAACTAACCATGCCCTAAAACCTCTGAGCCAAAATAAATCTTTCTTCCTTGTAGGTTATTCTCTCTGGCATTTGTTACAGGGACAAAAACTGAATAACATAACATTCCACCAGTCTCCACCTTATAAAGTTTCCATCACCCTCCAAAATAGCACCAAGCCTTTAACACATGGGCCTTTGGGTCACTTATCCAAGTCACAGCAGCTTTTGTCAGGGGAGGACTGTCAAGGAAGGAAATCCCTGTCTGAAGCACAGAGGTGAAGCAACCTCCAGGTCACAGAGCCATTTTGTGGCATACTTAGGACTAGAAAGCAAGTCTGGTATTGTTCCTACGATATCCCAATGGGAGTTGAAAATATATAGGAAAAACTGCTGGGAAAGCTTTTTATGGAAAGGATAGATTTGATTTTGAATGGAATAGACTGTATTCAGGAAAGGATGATAAAGAAGAATGACATGGCAAAAAATGCTGTTGTCTACCAAAACCCATTCTCCTCATCTTCCACTGTAGAGCTGTGGTTGTACATGTGATTCCCTGTTAGGGACTACATTTCCCAGATTCCCCTGTGTTAGTGGTGGCAGCCATATTGAAAAGTTCTCACCTGATTATTGTGAACAGAAAAGTGAGTCACTTCCAACTTGGTACCACATGGGGTGTGCCTCTTCCATGTTCTCTCTCCCTTTCTTGCTAGCTAAGAATTGATCAGATAGATTAGCAAGCCCTAAAGCAGTACTTTTTAATCTGTGTTTTTTTTGTTGTTGTTTTTTGTTTTTTCAGTTCAGGGGTTTGAACTTAGGACCTTGTGCTTGCTAGACAGGCACTGTACCACTTCATCCACTCCACCAGTGCTTTTTTCAAGATAGGGCCTCACAAACTATTTGCCTGGTCTGGTTTCAAACCTTGATCCTCGATCTCTGCCTCCTGAGTAGCTAGGATTACAGGGTGAGCCACAAGTACCTGGCGCTATCTGTGTTTAAGGACTACAGATCCACTGTACCGCAAGCCTAATCTACCATGGACCAAACTTTTGGCCCATACCCCATTCAAATGAGATGAGTTTCCTGGTCCACTGCTTGGATGTCATGGGAATGTCAAATTGCAATAAAAGTTTCTGAAATCTTACTCTTATGGTCACAATTCAATTCCTGGTGGACTGTTACCAAGAAGTTTGTGGATTGGTACTTGTCTGAGGTCCACTGCCTCAGGAGGTGCACAGACAAGATGGAAGGTTCCTGAGGGTCACATGGAGCAAAAGATGGAGCATAGCATTCCAACAGGCCTCAGACAACATTTGAAGCAGATGCTTACACAAGATAGAAAAACAAACAGCATCTTCTTCAGACTTCTGTACCTTAGGATTGCTTTCTTAGGAAGGTGAACTTTACCCTAGTACAGACGGGGCCACATATTAACAAGAAGAGTAGGTTTTGAAGAGTAGGCCCAAGTTATAGATGTGTTAGCTCCAATTGCTGCGCCAAGTATGGGGAGCATGCTTCCATATGACCCTCCTGAGCCTCACTGTATGCTACTCATGGAAGCATGGCACAAGGCCAGGGCTCCCTGTCAGTAGATGCCTGGCTGGATACCTTTGAACCAGCCAGGTTCAAAGACAAAGACGAACTGCGTCTGTATATCTTGGAATGATTTGGGTTCAAGCAAATCCATGTTCTGAGGCTCAAATGCAGTTATAGATGTCAACGTTCCTCAATACAAAGGATGGTGAGCTGGGTGCTGGTGGCTCACGCCTGTAATCCTACTACTCCAGAGGCAAAGATCAGGAGGTTCAAGGTTCGGAGCCATCCTGGCAAATAGTTTGTGGACCCTGTCTTGAAAATACACAACACACACACAAACACACACACACACACACACACACACACAAAGGCCTGGCAGAGCAGCTCAAGTGGTGGAGCACCTACCTAGCAAGTGTGAGGCCCCGAGTTCAAACCCCAGTACTGCCAAAAAAAAAAAAAAGGATGGTGAGCCAATTTTAGTTCATAAGATATCTGGAGCTGAGCTGAGGTAAAGATTTAAGGGCCCCTGTGAAGAACAAGAGACCCCATGGGGTAGTCAGCTGGGCTTCAGCTTGGCAGAGAGACTGAGGTCTCTGGTGCCTAGAGTCACACATTCCAGCGGATGGATCTTGGGCGAGTTATGTAGCACCCTCTTTGTAAAGGATTGATGTGAGGCCTTTGAGAGGGTACAGGAAGTCCTGCATGCATCGATCTACCATTTGATCCAGTAATACCACTCTTGGGGATATACCCAAAAGACTGTTACTCCAGAGGCACCTGCACATCCATGTTTATTGCGGCACTATTCACAATAGCCAAGTTATGGAAACAGCCAAGATGCCCCAGCACAGACGAATGGATTAAGAAAATGTGGTATCTATACACAATGGAATTCTATGCAGCCATGAAGAAGAACGAAATGTTATCATTCGCTGGTAAATGGATGGAATTGGAGAACATCATTCTGAGTGAGGTTAGCCTGGCCCAAAAGACCAAAAAATCGTATGTTCTCCCTCATATGTGGACATTAGATCAAGGGCAAACACAACAAGGGGATTGGACTATGAGCACATGATAAAAGCGAGAGCACACAAGGGAGGGGTGAGGATAGGTAAGACACCTAAAAAACTAGCTAGCATTTGTTGCCCTTAATGCAGAGAAACTAAAGCAGATACCTTAAAAGCAACTGAGGCCAATAGGAAAGGGGACCAGGAACTAGAGAAAAGGTTAGATCAAAAAGAATTAACCTAGAAGGTAACACCCACGCACAGGAAATCAATGTGAGTCAATGCCCTGTATAGCTATCCTTATCTCAACCAGCAAAAACCCTTGTTCCTTCCTATTATTGCTTATACTCTCTCTACAACAAAATTAGAATAAGGGCAAAATAGTTTCTGCTGGGTATTGAGGGGGGGGAGGGGAGGGGGTGGAGTGGGTGGTAAGGGAGGGGGTGGGGGCAGGGGGAGAAATGACCAAGCCTTGTATGCACATATGAATAATAAAAGAAAAAAAAAAAAAAAAAAAAAAAGGAAGTCC